AAAAACCAAAGAAAAATACTGCAAAACGAGGAAAAAGTGAGGAAAAATGAAGGAAAACCAATCAAAAAGGAACACCAATGAAAAACTAAGGAAAAAGTAATGGAAAACGAGGAAAAAGTGAGGAAAATGATGAAAAACCAAGGAAAAGTAATGGAAAACGAGGAAAACGTGAGGAAAAATGAAGGAAAACCAATGAAAAACCAAGGAAAAGTCATGGAAAACAAGGAAAACGTGAGGAAACCGTGCCCACGACAAAAAAAAAAAAATCCCAAAACAAGAAAAAAAAATCCCAAAAAATTCCGCACCCAAAAGAAAATCGCACTGCCCCGAAGCATCGTTGATGATCCGTTTGTATGGATTGTCTTGACATTCATGCTGTTGCACCCATGCATACAAACTCCGCACACCGGACTGCATCAACATGAGCACGTGAATGTGAGGATTTGATAGTAATCATAGAATCAAATGTTTGATTTATGTTTGACTTGTATGCATAGCTGATATATGTGCTGATGCTATTTGCCTCTAACATCCAACGTGAATCAGCGAGAACCCATTTTGCCGGCACCTTTTGGCGGCTGAGCCGATGAAGAAGTCAGGTTTCAGGGTCACATATGTCACATGTGAAGGAAATTGTGGCAGCTACAGCCCAAACTTAACTCACGAACATCACCAACATCACCGATATCCATTGAAAGTAACATCAATCAACATCAACATCAATCTTTATTGACATTCACATTGACATTCAAGAGCCAACAAGCATAATCAGACCACCAGAGACCGAGAGAACCTTCCCCCCCATCAGCTCATAGCAACTGCCCCATGCCGGGTCCACACGGCCATACTTTGAGGCCTTGCAGGTCTGGAAGGGGTGCTGGTGATGATTGGACAATTGTTACTTACCGCAACGGCATCACTCATCCAGGCCATATCGACATGTGTTGAAGAATCTTGCCTATCAATCTTTATTGTCAATACATTCGGTAAACATCAACAAAGATTAATCTACCTACAACTCGATCAGTGACCAGGTGCAATAGGCTGATCATATCTTCGCAACCTTTCATGCCTATCTGTTTGCAGTGCACCGCTCACATGCCAATGGCATCCATTTGACATTTACCAACAAGTACCACAATCTACCATCACTTACTCACTTGCCACCATGTGTCATCCCTTACATCATCACCCACTCCTTTTCACCCAAATCTTGGGCCAACACCCACCGGACATTGCAGGCCTGTTGCAAGGCCTGTAGCGCGGCTTTTCCACAGTTCTCCAAGTCTTGTCGCATATCATCGAACTCCTTGTCGCAGGTGCCAGGGCGCCAGAGATGTTGGGAAGGGCGCTACTTGACCGCCAGAAATGAGCTCGTACTTGTCATGAGGGATGATCCGGGGATCTGAGAAACAGAAGAAAAATCGAGAGACAGTGAGATACATGACCAATGGGTTCCCGTCGGTCGTGCTGAGGGCTGGAGGTTAGGACATGTTGCCGTGAGGGATGGATTCCAAGAGCCATCTGCTGTCTTTGACAAGTTAGGTCAACTGCTGCCTCAACATGCTTATTTACTTGATGTCACTTGCATCACTTCCCACGATTGACTCTGTCACATTCGCCAGGGTGCGGCTGGGGCCCGACAACCTGACAGAATTGCCTCTCATTTTGATCCGGCGAGTCGATCTTAATATCTTATGTAAATTCTGTTCAATCATGTCTCACCACGTTTTCACCATGTTTTCACCACATGTTCACTGCAATTTCTGTTGGTTTCTGAAGGTTCTGTTCCTCATATGGCTATGGCTCAAAATGACACCCAAAATGGATGGTCAGATACTAGACATATCTAAAAATAACCAGTTCTGTGGCTCTGTGGGTCATTGGTACCATAATCTTGAGCCATACATAGCCATACTGTGCCATACCGTGCCAGGGCCATACATGGTCATACCCATGTTTCCTCATGTTCCCTGGCAATCTTCCACCTTGGGTCTCCCCGACCCGGTCGCTCATCTGCGCCGCCGCGGCCGAAGCGGCCGGAGTGGCGCCCGGCGCGGGCCTGGGTTTGGGCGATGGCAGGGCCACGAGATGGGGCGACCGGGTGGGATCGGGTGGGTTCCAAATGGCATAGGCAGCTCTAAGCCCATCCAATCCACGTGATCATTCTCAAAATCAGTCGAAAAAGAAAGAGAAGATTGAAACGATTGCACGATAGATGCGATTTTGATGTCACGAAAAGTACCAAAGCATGTTCCACAATCCACTTGTCAACTTGAGTCCTGGATGCAGTACCAAAGACAACACCAACTATGGATGATTCAAAATATTCTTTATCTCAAGTATTCTCAAGCATCAGTGCGCATGTTTCAATAATGAACTTACTACCAGGAAATAAATTGGATGAATGTGCCGTCAGTAAACAAAACAATGAGTACAGTAGTACGAACCGGATGAAAGACAGCATCACACAATGTGCTGCGATCAAACCGAGGACCGCGCTTCAACTCCCTACCCAAAACATCCAAAGGTTTGGACGTGTCTGGACTATTTAGATTTCAAAGGCCTCTATCATAGCTCGGTGCTGTTATCCAAGGACCGGATCAGGACGAACGCTGCAGGAATGAAATGGAATGAACATGCCTAACCGCGTCAATGAACGGAAATATTTCGAGCATGTTTGTATGGGATAAGATTGTGCGACCTGTCACGGCCCAAAAAATTGGTGTGTGACACCAGGATCCAAAACAAGCATGCGATCAGTGGGCTGCCGTAGCTTGTTCTGCTTCTTTTGTGCCACGTGCACAATGCAAAATCTCGTAAAGCAAGTTGACATAAACCAAATTGAGATAATCTGACGCATGTCGAAAAGTCTTGAACCATGTAAACCATCCAGAGAAACTATACAGCATGGATGCAAACTTAACATTATGATTATATGATCTATATGATCATGAAACCATATGTAAAAAAATGCAAAAACAATCGCTAAACCTTGCCCGGCATTGCCAACGCCTATCAGGTCATCTGAGGTCCCCCAGCGCAATTCTCTTGGCGGCCACCAGCGCAGTGGTCGGCAACAGCGTGTCGTCCTTGGCAGGACCCGGATCTGTGTCGTCCAAGAGATCAATTTGTGGGTCATGATCTGCCGCAAAAAAACTTTGAAACATTCAAAGCGTAGTTATGATCATTGATGACCAATGTAGTGAGGTTATCTGTTCATATGCTCTTGTGAACCTGTCACATTAGCAGCACTTGAGGCTGTGCCGAGGTACCCAATCGAAGACCGTCAAGGACGAAGGAACCTTTGGGTCCTGGGGTGGAGGGTTGGACTGTCACTCTCCAGTCACACACCATGAGGCGTCGCAACGAGTCGTAACCTTTCGCCTCGTGGCGCTATATGACATGAATGCGGATGTCTCAGCCAGCGTTGCAATGGGCCATGGGATGCCATGGGCCTGGCCAAGCCCCCCGATCCCTCATCTCATAATATATATCATAGCAATTAATTAGCCAATCATTAACCGCTCCCAAATTTACCCTGAATAGTTGGTAGAACCCATCCCAAACTAGGGGGTTATCGTTGGCTAACATTATCTCAATGATGATGTCCATCATCGGCAGCTCTTCCCATGCTGAATGAACGGTTGGCGTCCTTGCTCTCGACCCAAGGTTCTCTGACCTCAGGAATTTGGCAGCATCAAACGGCATTCAACTGATCAATCTAACCTGTGGATTTCAAATGATGTGCAGTAAGGATGGGGGGAGGCGCAAAGCAGATTGGAAACACCTATTTTCACATGCAAGGTGCTGGGTTGAATGTGATACTCAAGTTAAGGTGTATATACTACACGACATGCACCTTGGAAACATCTGGAATGTAGGTTAAGGCACAACGATGCACAATAGTTTCATTTGATGTTATCATCGAGTTGGTTTAAGATCTCTATATATAAGGTATGGTTCAGGGTTGGCTTGGGGTTTGAATATCATCCGGATGATAATGCAAACCTTTTAGATAGATATAGATATAGATTTCAAGATATATAGATATAAAGATATATAGGAATATAGATATATAGATATATATATATATATATAAATACAGATATATTGATATATAGTGGTATATAGATATATACAGATATAAATATAGGTATAAATTTATATATATAGATATATATATATATGTATATATATATATGTGTATAGAGATTTATAGAAATATATAGAGATTTATAGAAATATATAGAGATATAAAGATATATATATATATAGATATATAGAGATATAGATATATAGATAGTTATATGCATATATAGATATATAGATACAGCAGTAGATGTAGATATAGATACAGATATAGATAGATATAAATAGATATAGATAGATATAGATAGATATAGATAGATATAGATACGTAGATATAGATAGATATAGATAGATATAGATGGATATAGATAGATATAGATGGATATAGATAGATACAGATAGATATAGATATAGATAGACATAGATAGATATAGATAAAATCAGGTAGATAGATAGTTTGATAGTTAGATAGATAGATAGATAGATAGATAGACAGATAGAAAGTTAGATAGATAGATAGACAGATAGATAGATAGACAGATAGATAGACAAATAGATAGATATATGGATGGATAGATAGATAGATGATACTCAAGGTGTATCTAATGCACAACATGCACCTGGTGAACATGCTTCACTGATAGATTGATCGATAGATGATAAATGAGCCATAGGAGCGAGGAGCTCTCGGAGCCAGGAGCCATAGAAGCCACCAGGAGCCACCAGGAGCCACCAGGAGCCGCAGAAGCCACCAGGAGCCACCAGGAGCCACAGAAGCCACAGAAGCCACCAGGAGAGGAGGGAAAAAAAAAAATAATACCCAAAACAAAAAAAAATAAATTCCCAAATTAAATTACCCTCCTTTTTCAAGCCATGGGTTTCCTGAGGCGCCACCGTCCACAGCTCTGTCCTGGGCGGCCACTTTCACCTTTTGAGCTGCCTCCTGACATGCTCTCAACAGACCTGCCACGGAGGCCCTGGAGGCCCTGGAGGCCAGATTCAGCTGGAAAGGAAGCTGGGGTCCTAAAAGACTTGAAATCACCAAAGCTGAAAAAATACAAGGTGAGGTCCCACAGTTACAAGTGTTTTTTTTTCAAAACCCCAAAAAAACTATAGTTCCATCCTCCATAAAGCCTAAGTGTCATCATCTTCACATTTCACATCTTCACCATTCTGCACCATTCTTCACTGATCAACCGGTCTTGCCCTCCACATCTTACGCTGCATAGAGACCTCCATATTGATGGCGGAAAGTGGCGTCAAGAAGGTGTTCTTGGAGTGTCTGATTCAGGGGATGCTCCTTGCCGGCCAAGGCTTGCGCGATCCAACTTCAGAAACAAGGGATTTGTCACATATCAATGGCCATTTCAGGATCCTAGATTGGAGGTACCTACCATATATAAGGCATATGTAAGGCCTATGTAAGGGAATATCCCCACAAAATATGGCCTGAAATTCCCATTGAACATATGCCATGGTCCAAACATGTGAAGACCTGGAAGTATATAATGGGATATAGTTCAATGGTCATCCCAGTGTGACCATCCCCCACTGGTACTGTATGTCATCCAACCATGCAAAAAACATAGCAACGCATGCTTGGAACCTGCATCACCTAAAATGGGCAACACTGCAACACCAACACTTTCATGTGGGACTTATTGGGTTTATATTGGGTTTTATTTAAGGTTCATGTCACTTGTGGTTGCATTCACAAGGACGGAAGATGATGTACATCGTCGCACAACGCAAAACTCCTGTGAATGTAAGTTCGATGTAAGCACAACCCTAAACACACGACTGACCGAGAGTAAACATGTAACCAAACTCAACTAATTTCCCATGTATTTTTCTGTTACTCTCTTTGTACGGCTGATATTTAGACACTCTCCCAAAAAAATATGTCTTTAGAATTCTTTAGATGGGTATGGTAAAGGTGTGTCTGATTGTATGAAACTGGGGTATTAAAAAAAAACATGTTGACAGGAACAACAACATGATAAACCGAGATTTTGTTGGTCGCCTATATTTTCAGAGTCACAAACTCATATGCCCATATTTTCAGAGTCACACATGATGATAATCCAATGGATTTAGGGCTACACTATTTTCAGACAAACCCATATGCCCAATTTATGGCAAGACAGAATCCATCTTTACTGTGGCCGCTTTTAAAAAAGCCCCAATGTGACCAAGGTCCAACACTTGTGACCAAGGTCCAACACTTGTGACCAAGGCGACCTTCCCAGCCCAGCGCCAGGGCACCATTTGAACCCAGACATTGGACAAGGAGAACTGACCCACCAGGTTGGAATAGTAATCCAAGGACAGCAACTCCTTAGCCGTTGACATGGGGGCATTTTACCTCACCCAATTTCATCAAAACTTCACGGAAAAAAATCCAACATTCGATTTTAGCCAGTAAATATACTGTATGTATAACATTCAATAATAAATGCGTTATGTTCCATTGCCTTTTACTGGGAAAATTTACGGAATACTGATACTGAATCATCCTCCATAAAGGGGTTGTTTAAAGTTTTTGTTTGTTATTTTGCATTGCCAGGTGCGGGTAGGAGTTGAGTTTCAGCTCGTCTAAGAAATCCCCAAAAACATTGGCATGGGTCATGGCAAATAACTTTTGAAGATAGATTCTTTCACCAGGAGATCCCAAGGGTCCAAAATGATTCGAGCTGGCTATTTTTACGTCTTTTTGTTTCAGATCGCCCCAGATCTCCCGCTCCCAATCTTTTCGGAAGCAGAATGTTGCACCAAGTGTCTGACCATCGTTCTTCCCACAAAATGGCGACCAACAATTCCAGGGACGCAAGCATCACCTAAGTTCTGTTTGCGATGTTATTGAGGACAAAACTTGGATTTGCCCTACAAATTCCCCAAACAATCCAAAAAAAACATGGCATATGAGAAGGGGTCCCAAGAAAATAAACCATGTTCCCAATAGATTCCCCATTTCCGGTGGATTTTCCAGTGCGGAAATGTTGCAAAATCACCTTAAACAAACCCAGGACAAACCTCAGCTATAGATAGTTGTAGGATGCAAGGTACTCCAAATATGTGGCCTATGAATCACGTACGAGACGTGGGTCCCGCACCCCCAAAACCTTGCTCTGCAAATGGAGGAGAGTGGCTTGCTGTCGCTTTTCCCTTTTGCCCTGCGCGAGGGCGCCAAGTTTGCCCGTCAGCGGTCCCGCTTGGCACATCGACATGGATGGCACGCTCTGCATATTCAGCCAAGACATCTTCCTAATTCGGCATGGCACGGACAGTTTTCCCTTCAGCTCGATTTCCAGTCATTTCCAATCATGTCCAATGTGGTGTTCCACACATTTGGTCCTTTCCAATAGCAAATTCAACAAAATCTTCAAAACACGTTCTCTTCATTTCTCTTGGATCAATGTGCTTAAAGAACACCAACAGGAGATTAGTTGGAGTTCTTGGAGGGGTCGGCCAAATGGGTCGCCTCCCAAGCAGTTGTTTGTTGCTGAAAAAACCGTCACATTATGCTACATACCCAGGTCTTTGGCTGAAGGAGTAAGATGATCAACCACATCAAGTTGGTAGTCACAACATGTTACATTCCTATAGTATTTTATACTGGTTGGTGGTTTCAACCCCTCTGAAAAATATGAAAGTCGTTGGGATTATGAACTTCCCAATATATGGAAAAATAATCCAAATGTTCCAAACCACCAACCAGATTCAACCAGTGTTACATTCCTATAGTATTTTATTGAATCCTATTTGATTCAAGGGCCGCATGGTTTGGGTGTCTACAAGATATGATCAAGACTGGTCAAAACACAGCCTCTCCATTCTACAGACTCCATCGTATTTAGCTTATTTTGCTTACATAAGCACGATGTATACGAGTAGAATCAACAACAACGATGTCAAACAAAAAAGTGAAAGAGGCAAAGAGAAGAGTAGCAGAAAAAAATGAAACATAAACCCACACAGCCCTGTCTGAAGAGAATGTACAACCAAATGTTGAACCCCTTTTTTCCTATCGAAACCAGATAATGTACGTGCCACCAAAAACAGTTCCTGAGATCACCTATCCATTCTGACTGCTTCCATATCCCCACATCCACTTGTTACTTACAGTAAGTATTCCCAACATATATACTCATTATTCTTGATTAAACAATGGTAAACCAGCCATTTCATCTTGCTTCACCATGGGCAATCTTTGATAGTCCACAAAAAAAGGTAATATTTTTGCTGATTCTTGTTATTTTATGATTTATATTGATTTATGATAGTTTATGCTATTTTCCATAGCAAGAAAGCGAAGAAACTGCGCAAAAACCGGATGCCCACCGAGCGTCATGAATCGGCTGAAGTAGGCCATGGCTTCATAGAGCTGAACTCCATGATACCTGAAACGTGGTGAATACCGTGGTGAATACCGTGGTGAATCATGGAGAATAACTATCAAAACATATCAAAACATGCTGGAAATTTTATGGGATACTGATGGATACTGGGAATACCATGAGATATCAATGGGAAAAATGGGATATCATCGGATCTAGTGACATTTTACCGCTTCATGATGCAACGACTTAAGTGGAGTGTCTGGAGACGCATCATCCAACGGCAACAAAAACCTCTCCGACACCCAAATTGGTCAAAATCCTGGCGAAATATCACACTCAATATGTTCAAAATCAATGTGATGTTCATCCCCCACATATCCAAAATTATCCAAATATGAATCAAATGTAGTAGCTATATATGTATCTATACGGTTTTGACCCATCCTCATCTCCTGTCCAAAGCCCTTTCAAACACACCCAGCTGGGAACATCTGCACCCCGCAAGGAGCTTTGCAAGGCCGTCTGGTTGGTGGTTTTAACCGTCTTGAAACATATTAGTCAATGGGAAGGATTATCCCATATATTATGGAAAATAAAAAATGATTGAAACCACCAACCAGTTGTTTTTTCATCCTGCAAGTTGTTTTTTGCATTGTTTTTGTATGGCCCGAACAAACATTCAGTTCCCTGCCAAGATGGTACAGCAAATTCAACTGACCAATGTCCATAGTTGAAGGTTTCCAAAATGTCCATAACCCATGCTCAAGCCGTCCATAGGTGTACCCCATTTCCGCTGAACAATGTTCAACTCTGAACCTAGGATTTCAATCTCGAGTTTCCATTCATTTGATGATATTTTAAGTAATTCCTAGAGATGTCCCACGGATTTTCCCCCAGATTTTGGGTTCCGATGTTCCAAGCGGCTCCACTAATGAGATAATTTCAGCAATGACTTGCGCCGCAGCAGCGAACTGTTCGTGGTATTTGGTGCTGTACTGCTGGAAGCATTTCCAGACCTGCGGGCTAGCGGGGATTAGACCGTCAGAAATTTGGGTATCAAAATAGTCATGGGACATAACTAGTACATATTGATGAGAAAATACTGAGCATGTTAATGAGATGGACATAGATATCAACGATTTGTGTGTCTGTGTGTCTGTGTGAAAACGCTGAGTCAACCAATATTAAATGGGGTTTTTAACTTTTAACCAACAATAATGGTACACCGGTGGTATGTGGAAGAAATTGACCGACAAAACTATAGCTGGATGTGTGAAAAATGATAGATTTCCCAATAACATACGGCCATGTAGTGGAGAAACTGGTGATTAACCAGTGAAGTTTGAGGTATTTTCAGACAAACCCACCAAAAGCGGTACAGTACATTATGGGGATGGATCAAAACCAAGGTGATAAATCCCTGCAGTTGAGCTTATCAGTGCAAGTGGATATATATCCCAAAAAATCAGCATTATCAGCATGACCCCACGATATGCCCATGAGATCACAATTTTCAGTAGCATCATTCTTGGGTTTCACACCATTTTTCATCGTAAATTACCATACCAATCCCTTGGCAAATCGCCATTTTTTTCATCCCAGAAATTCCAGAAACAATCCCATGAATTCCCATGAATCTAACCTGAATTGTTGGGCCATAAAAGGGGATGATTTCCCGAATCCTAAACCATCATTTCCAGGGCTCGGGAGAACAGGGTTCGGTCGTGATGAAATTTACCCATGATGAGTTCTCATGGAATTCTCAGCAATCGACCCAAAGAACCCATTCACCGGTCACATCCAACGACTCCAACGTCGGTCCAAGGCACATTGCGTTGCTCCGGGGTCAGGTCACTGCACAGCACCCGGTGCCAACCTTCGCGCTGTCCGGCCTCAAAGCCTGAAGTCACCCTAGGGAACCCTGGCACAACATGGAGCCGATGATGGTTTGGACAGGATTTGGTGGTTTGAATGGTCGTTTGAATGGTGGTTTGAATGAAATTTAAAGGGATTTAATGGTATTTAGATAGCTATGTTTGACTGTTGGGTTATATTAGGGGAATATAGCGTACTGGTATGCATGGGGTGAAACTAAAACTAAACCATTGCACTTAACTGGCGGGTCCCACCTTGCATATAATGCTATTTGTTCCTGCTTAGGTTCTATTTCAGGTACTCAGACATACAGTATATGGTATGTAAGTATGTAGGTAATATACAGTACTAGCATGTACTAACCAACCTTAGGATTTCTTAGGTTGGGGAGCTGGTTAGTAAATGATCCCGTTTATGAAAGCAAAAAAACCGTTATACTGATTCTCCAGGCAAGGTTTCATGACTGACGCCGTACTAGGATGATTTCAGTACAAACATTGTAGCAACTGTGCAATACGGTACTATCACCGACTATCAACCCTTTTTGACCGGGATCTGATGCAAGAGACATAAACATATAAACCAGATACAAATCATTCAGGACGTTTGGGAATCATGCAAGTAGGAATAGATTTCACCAACAGCGGGTGGGAGATGAGCAATGGGGGCCCAACATGATTTATCAATTGGACCGGACCTTCAAATGTGGAATGTGGTTTTTTATTCAACTTAGTCGACATTTTTTTTAAATGAACCAAAAACCAACCTATAGAAAAATATTGGTTGGGAAACGATAACCAACACTACAGAAAGTGTCAATGTTTTTCTGCATAACCCACAAGGTGCTGCTCCCTACTTACTAGTTTATTTTTATTGGCTTATTACCCATATATGAATAGATTTATAAATGATATTCTACGACCCGGCCGCCCCACAAGCTTCAGCTTTCGGAGACATTCTTCACTGCAGAACACCGCGTCGCAGAAATCACAAGGCCGACGGTCTCGTACATGCCAGACTCCCTGCTCCAACTGAGCAATCATCGTGGGATCCTCCACATAGTCCTCTCGGATCCCACTGGATCGCTATCCAGGACAAGAACAAAGCAGTGGCGAATCAAGGAACATGAAAGAACCAAGGTGGTGGACATTGATAAGAATACCTCAAAGTCACTTATAATGATTGTAGCTTCTTTCAAAGACCAGGGTCCTTGAATGAAAACATGTGAAAACCCTTCAAACCAGCAATTTGCTGACAAGCGAAGAATATTCAATCAAAAATGATGTTACTTAATAAACCATACAAAGAAATACACCGAAGAAATAAAACTACCACGGTCCAGTCGCAGGTTTTCCAGTTTCTCAGGTAGTTTCTCAGTTAATTACTGCATTTGGTACTTACTCTGATCACAAAAAAAACAAAAGTGTCCTTCTATCACCAAAATTGGCTAAAACCCCATGGGCCACGGGCATTTTTCCCTCAAGGATCGTTCCATTAATAGACTAAGTCCCCATTCAGTATAGCTTATCCGATCTTCCATCTGTAAATGGGTGACAAAAGAAACCGTACTAATACTACTAGGAATACTAACTAACATATACTAACACTTGAAACTGAATCAGACTACTGACTAACTAACATATATTAACATTTGAAACTGAATCAGACTATTAACTAACTAACATATACTAACACTTTAATACTAATACTCACATATACTAACATTATATTAACCAGACTACGAACTGCGCCTTTTTTTCGACCACTTGGAATCAGCCCTTATCCCGGCGGAACCTCCAAGTCCCCCGCATGGCCGGCCGCCAGGGTGCGCCGCAACGCGGAGCCCAAGGAGCCGCAGAAGCGACGGCAGTGGGCGCAGACCTCGCCTTGCGCAAAACATATGGCCGACCCATGTGGTCCTATGGTGAGATGAACATACCCTCTGGTATTTTGTTACATAGCTATTGAAAATGGCCATTTATAGTGAGTTTTCCCATTAAAAATGGTGATTTTCCATAGCTACGTTAAATTACCAGAGGGTATATGAACCAGCTACAACAGTAAAATAAGTGGAGATATACCCGGCCTGGTAAACAAACAAAAAGCGAACTGGAACATAGCCATAGAAATAGTGTTGATTTACCCAGCTATAAAATGGTGATGTTGCATAGCTATGTTAGTTTACCAGAGGGTAGGTTCAACAAGAAAACTGATGTCATGTGATTGTTGATGGTGGGTGTGATTCATTAACTAGATAGGTAATGATTTATGAATCGGATTGAAATTGATGATTCATGATGATTTCGTGACGGCGATTCATTTTAGTTCAAATAATCTATCCCATCCCCGACAAACATCGAAAAACTAAATGTGATGGGATTATGTAATTGTTGTGTCAATTCATTTGGAGTTATGATATGAATTTTGTTTTTTCTATGGCAAACAATTTGGGGATGATTCAAGCAAACCATAGGAATCGTAGTCCATCAAACATAGAGTTCAACTGATAACAAAAAAGGTGACAGCCTATTGTATTTCTGAATCAGTCGTGCTTCTGTGATAACATGCAGATTGTACCGTGTCAAAGGGTTTCATCAATGGAAGAACCCAAAAAACATGATTCAGTGATAATCACCACGATCCAAAAAACAAAATCGGATCTAAGACGTACAAAACAACAACAGAACATGTGGTTGGACCTCTTCTTTCAGTCGCCTTCAATGTTTTCTGAAGCCCAACTCAACAAAAACGACCCACGACCAAGAGGCAAAGGCTGCGAGAGTCACTGTACTGCAACAAGGACAGAGGAGGTTGTCCGGTGCAAATGGCCTCGCCAGCCTTGTGTCCGAGGCTTGCTCCGAAACAAAAAAAACATATATGGGACATACGAAACAAAACTTACTGGTGCTTAGTAGGGAATGAGGGAATGATCCATAATAACTATCAATAATCATCCCATTCCCCCATTCCCATCCATTCCCTGCTAAGCACCAGTAAGACAAATAAAAATTAAAAGCATCATACGCTGTTTTTTAAAGTAAATAAATATATATATATATGATAAAACATCAATAAAAACATACATACACTATAAGTTAAATAACATATAGATCTCTTTTGGCTGTAAGATCAGACGTCTTGGTGCAAGTGATCCCTCATCGTCCAGTCTACACCAAAATTAGATAATGTTATATATTTCTACGTACAATTTTCCACTGTATGGTATAATCAAATACTATATATGCATCATAGAAATCTAAAAAGTAGATACAACTGTAGTACTGACAAGAACTATGTATGTTATGAACAATATATGATATTATATTAAAGAAATAAAACAATACTTTCTGGCTATATATCTACAATATCGCGTAGATAAATGAGACAAATTAATTCTATATCTTTCTATATCTATATACATCTACATAAGTTATGTATCTATAAATACAATTACACACTATACTCCCCTTGGCTATGTTACGTTTTTAGTGTATATATATATATCGTCATATCATCCATGTATCAAAAATATCTACATACATAATAATTAGTTGGTTCATGGTAAATAGAGCTATATCTTTATGTGTGTATAATATATATATACTATATATACGTATATATTATCTACATGGCAATGTATCTATCTATCTATCTATCTATCTGTCTGTCTATCTATCCATCCATCCATCCAAGTAATCTAATCTAATCTAATCAAACCTAATCCAATCTATCACCCTTTGTATTCCCCCTTTTTTTTGCACTGTAGAAAGCGACTCCCCACCCCTCGCCTTCACCTGCTTCCCCGCCGCCAGTCCCCGATGGCGCCGATCTGCCAGGCGCTCAGCGCGCAGCTGGCCCTGCCGGAAGGGTGTGTAGACCTGGCCGATGGGGGAAACAAACGGTGGAAAGGCTGGGAATGTTACGAAAAATGGCAGGAAAATGGTGGGAAAATGCGGCTGGAAAAGGCGCTTGAAAGTGAAAAATGCTGGAAAATGGTTCGAAAATGGATGAACATGCTGGAAAAGGTCGGGAAAATGCTGAACATCGGAGCAAACATGAAAAAAACAACATAGGAAAATGGGAGGCAAACTGGGAAAAATTGTGAGAAAATTGGTGACAACGGATAACATGTCGTGGAAAAAGGGAACAAGTTGGGAATATGAATAAACCAGATTTGGCAATTGATTGAACATGTAAACCGTGAGTAAACAAGATCGAATAAACATGGGTGAAGACTGACAAACATGATGGAAACAATCAGGATGTTGATTGTTAGAGATGCTTATAATATATATATATATTATATATTATGTATATATATTGGCTGGACTGTCGACGAGGATGATTGAGTTGGAGGATTTCCTGGTGGATGATCTGATCAACGCTGTCACTGGTCATGTGCTTTTTGTGCCATGACATGACCAGTCTCTGACTCTTTGGGATGCAGCTGGCTAGTACAGACCCTCAAGCCCTTATCCTGGGTGCAGAACCGCTTATATGAAATTTGCATGTCTGCAAACTCCCAGAAGTTAGGTTGAATAACTCCAGCAATGTGAAGCAAATCGAGTTTAAGACAGTTGTGTTCCGTCCTCCGGATGCCGGCCAGGCCATTGAGAGCTTTGCGTGCCCGACCAGTCGGGGCTAGTGGAGGCGCAGTAGCCTGCAGCCCAAGGGGCATCCCCAAAAAAGCATCTCTTCAGGGGGGGTGATTGGAATAGCGTGCTATGAAAAACATGTTCTATGTCTTTTAGTTTTTTTTAATGCATAAACAGTCACGATGTATTGGGATTTCAGCATGAAACAATGTGATTTACTTATGCGGATATAACATGATATATATATATATATGTATATATGTTGAAAATTGTGAATATTCTCAAACAAATACCAAACACTGATGCAAATAATACAAACCTTGAAAATAAGGTGTTCTGATCATGGGCAAAATACAGGGCTCATGACTGCTGACGACGTGTACATACACAAATATATATATATATATGTAAACACATTTACGAACAAGGCTGCAGTAGCATTTTTTATTTACGCCATGACAAAATACCCTATAATATCCTATAATTTTATAATACTATATCCTATCTCATTATGCTGGTTGGTTAGTAGTTCCCCCCCAATCGTGGGCAGTAATAATCCCCAATAGCGCTAGTATAAGCTCTTTTTTGATCAACAGGGATATGTTTCTTAAACCCCCCGACCTGGAAAGCCGTTCTTTGGATTTCCCAGTGCAGAGTACAGGATCGCCGAGGGCATAGGAGTCGCCATTGTGGCTCGTCGCTGGATGCTGTGTTAGGTGATTGCTGTGTTGGGAAAACTCTGTACCCTTATGGCCCTTAACAAGTATAAATTCGGGATAACTCCAGAAAACTAAAGTGAACATATCCCTTAAATTGCGGTTGTAAGCCAGTTATAAGTTATAACCGTTAAGCGCTGTCAGTGTAGTATCTACGTTTCAAACCCAAATGCCGTCTACATTTTCAACATTCGACCGGACACTCTGTTTAAGATGTTGAAGTTCGGTGATATCCCTGCCGGCCACTGAAGAATCAAACACACATTTTGAAGTCAAGATGTTCTGGAAATCCAATGCGCTCGATAGAACGTTGTCATGTAAATGCTCATGTATGCTCATCTATCCTTCTGACTGTGGGTCATTTTGCCAAGCAAACACATATGGAGAATGTGTCGTACATTCTAAAAGGGTACGTCGTACGTGGCTGAGGATGTTAGACAGAGACATATATCTTACATTCTTCCAGTACAGCCCATTTCTGGCTGTTTCTTCTCATGGTTTCTCCTTGGGCCAAGGTGCAACAGAAATGGCTGACGCGCTCTAAGTCTGAGTCTGCCCTTGACGTCAAGGGCAGCAACAGCAGCAATAACCGCCACAACAACAGCAGGGGCCACCACCAACAACAACAACAACAGCAACAACAACAACAACTGAAGGTTTTGGGGTTGGTTACCTATTTGATAGGTAACTGGAAGGTGAGGGTAACATGTAACCTATTATTTGGTGAGGGTAACATGTAACCTATTATTTGATAGGTAATTACCACCAACAACAGGAAGGACCTGCCGGAAATCGCGCATCATGGCGAGGGCAAAGACACGATTCGGAAACTCCACCGTGCTTGGAAGATAGATGATCATCTGGCTGGTGGTTGACCTACCACTCTGAAAAATAATGGAGTTAAAGTCAGTTGGGATGATTATTCCATTTTCAACTGAATGAAAAGTCATAAAATTCATGTTCCAAAGGATTCCAAACAACCAACCAGTCATAGTTCTATAGAAATTCTATGAATTTCCATCGCTTCACGGGCGCAGTTACCAAAGTTTCACAGCCTTCCCCGTTGCACCACCGGTTGAGATCGCCGCGCCTCGCTGGGACCTCGGGCAGTGGGACGACCAAAAACACATTCCATAACCATATCGTCATTTTTTCAAAAACATCATCATATGTATCTCTATATAATTCTATATATATATGTATGTTTGTGAACTACTATATGTATTGTTATCCTCACTATTCATCATCCTTCACCATTGCATAGTTCACTGTATATGATTATATATATATACATATTGATATATGCATTATTATGTCATTCCTATATTAATGATCCCATAAACATAGTATGTACTACTTCTGTTATGATGGGTTTATAAATGAATGAACAAAGGATCGCACTGGGCATCACTGAGCTGCCCCTGCCAGGCGTCGAAGCTGCACGGTGGGCGGTGGCCATGGCTCGGGATCAATTGCTCAAAGGCCACCCCGAACACCGACTGGGAATGTATGGATGTGAATTTCCTCCTAAATATGGTAGAGGTTTTGACCCATTCCCTTGTGAGACAAAACATGTCTGATCACAACCCTTGGAGCTTCTGAGATTTCAGCAAACATCAGAAATTCCAAGCACAATAATAAGAGGTACTGTAAGATCTGCAACTGTAACTGATAGAAAATGGGACATGGCGAAAAGAAGAATGGAGATCTAAGCAAAGCAACAAAGGGGGGATCTTAGATCGTACCGTACAGTACCTGGGGAGTCGAGGCCAACTGGAGTGATCAAGTACTTTTTGTCTTTTTCACACAGGCATTTGATAAACATGAAGGGATATCGTCTAAAAGTGTTCATGTGTGCACTTTCATTTAGTTATTTTATCAGGGACAATTGAGGGGCAAACCCTGGGTGTTTACCATTTTTTACCATCACATCTCATGGTTTTCCGTAGGTTTTCCCTTTGACAAATTCCATTACCATACGCGCTGCAGCCTGGAAATGGCACAGTAGCAAGACTCCAATGGGAATCTCACGCAGTACCCTCTTGTGATTTAACAAAGCTATGGAAAATCACCATGCATTTCATAGATAAATCATCGAACTAAATGGGCAGTTTTCCATAGCTATGTTACATTACCAGAGGCTAAATGGTTTGCCATAACCAGAGGTTGTGGTGGATATATCTGTAGTTCGGTATATATATATACATATATATATGGGTAAATTATAACGACCTCACTGCGACCTCACTGGAATCATGGTTAATAGGGGAAATTATCCCCAAATGGCCCAACAATTCAGGTTAGTGAAATATTATTTCATTTGCCAGATATATGGAAACCCAACTTCTACCTGCCCTTTCCACCGTTTTTTTTCCTCCATGGATCTGGGATCTAAAAAAGCGCTAAGCGCTAAGCGATCAACTCTCGCGGTAGCTTTGGACGATCCAACTGCTCAGCATTTTCTTTATCTACAGTTAGATGGCTTTAAATATACATCTATACCCTATGGATCCAAACACTGTCTGAGAAGCTACTTAACCCCCTAAATCATACCTCAAGTACTTCCTAAGAAGGCACTTGGATCCATAGGGATATACAACATGTAGATATATAATTATAACACATCCTAATATATATATATATATGTATATAATATAATATATATATATATATCCCATTATATATAGATCCCATGATATAATGGCTATGGTTACAGTTCAATTCATATCTATTACACTATATATGTATCATATCCGTCCAAATGGGTGGGCATCTGTGCCAGTTGAGAGCCTAGAGAGGGACTTCATCCGAGGCCTCACTCGTAAACAGGATCTCTATCTTTATAGAATTATTGATATCATATCTATAATGTATCTAGAATTAGTATCTCCATAGAGAAAGGGAGAAATATGGATACATGTTTTTTATATCAGTATACTAAATATCTATATCTAATAATTAGATCCCTATATAGTATCCTATCTAATTAGTATCTCATATTAGTATCTATCGGAAATCAGAGCAACATGTTTTTTTCCATCCCTGTAGCCGTCTCCGTCTCCAGCTTTTGACAGGATCATCCCATTTCACCCAGATATAAGTGGCAGCCAGTCCAGTGGACTTATGATCACCAGTATAAATATATATATATATATAACTATACATAATTATATATAATTATATACAATGTTATATATAACTATATATAATTATATATATAATTTTGTTTTATATTTACATATCTATGTATATAGTTGTTTTTTATTTACCATAATGTCATCCCCTACAACCACCATGGTGACTCAGGACGGTGTTTCATATGAATGGGCGATGTTTTTTTTTTTCCGATGTGGTAAACCCAATCATAAACCATCCTAGCAATAATTACATTACTAATATTTGATAGCCACGACCCCTTTAGGGTTTATATGTTGTTAGGCAATGTCCTGTAGGCCAACTCCTATGTAGGAATCATCAACAATATTTGATGTGTAAATTTGATAGTATATACATTTAATTAGTAATGTAATTCTATTTGATAGAGCTTTCCGAGACTGGGTATACTCCAATCGCAATGGGATGGTGAACTTGGCATTTGGTGTACTGCATCTCAGCCCCAACTTCCTTTATCTTCCAGTTAGTACATGATAAATACATATTATAATTGTCAGAGTAAATTAAAGGTGGTGTTTGAACCATCCTATCACAGAAAATACGTGAACCATCAGTTCAACTGCGAAAAATCGAAAACATCATCCTCGAAAAATCTCACCCCATCCCGATCTTCCGCCGCTGCCATCTTTCCCGAGCAGTTCCAGTTGCCTCAGCCCCAGCTGCTGCATTCGCTGCTGCCACTCCTGCGCCTCCAGTAGCCTTCGCGCCGCCAGCAAGCCCTGGAGCCCCGCGTGGACGGCCACGGCATCCAGGTCTGGGGAACGTCCTAGGCGACATCCCACAGACCCAAACGTGGGAACAAAAACGTGGGAAAACATGGTGTTTTTAGCAGCAAACATGTGGATTCAACGAAGAAACCAACGATTTTTGGGGAGATCATGGGGGTACATTGGCGGCATATTCATGTGCGTCAACATACATGACCAATAAAATGATAATCTACCATCAAGAATGGCGGGCCGCTGACTGGCAACGGTGGGGATTGTCCAAAGGCATCGGCAACTGTGGTCCTGGTGCAAACGCTTACAAATGGTTGCAAACTGACTCTTAGGAATATCACCAATACGATCCAATACGAACGAATTCACAATCAACGTTTAATTTGACAGACAGAGCTGAAGGTACTTCAGGGATCTTTGATATTTCCACTGGTATTCGCATCTAAACAAAATATCAACCAATAGGTGGCACAGTTCCTGGGGCCTCAATTGCAGAAATGCCAGGATCATTTGTTGGAATTGGGGTGTGTGGCAAATCCCATAGTATATAAACTTCATGAACCATATCTAAATTTACCCTAAATGGTTCCATATATGCATACACATATAGAGATATGTATGTATGGATATATATGGTCATTATTGGGTGTACTTGACTACCCCAACTTCCGACAAACCCATCTGCACCCAGGCTCTCATGCTCTCCATCAAAGGCAGCATCTTCGATGGTTGGCCGTTGCTCACAATCGTCAGAAGCGAACCTCGAAGCGGGGAGTTGGAGGCCGATTCTGGACCCTATAGCTGCGGTGTCTCAAACAACATGGATTGGGAAACAAGCAGCTTTATATAGCTTTATATATATTAATATATATATATATACATACCCCAAGTCACCATGGTTTTTGATACAAATTAGTCATGGTCATCGCTTGGATGATGCAAGGGGGAAGCCTCATGGCTCGGAAATCCCTATATGGCGTATGTCAAGTACATGCTGATACGGTGGATGCTTGCGAACTCCTGCACCAACAAAAGGATGGTTGAAACCCCAACAAAATAATGGGATGTTTACCACCGTTTTCAACTGGTGCGGGATTTCGCAACCATGCACCATATTTGGGCTAAGCTAAACCTAGGTTTGGTATGCACAGATTCACATGGCAGTTTAATGCTGTTTACGATACGCTGTTTTTTAACCCAGGTTTAGCTTGAAACTGAAGGATCTCGGCATGTGGAACATCCTAAAGGAATCCAAATTTATGGTTAAAACAGGTTTGCCAAAAAAAACATGGAGGGCCAGCCCCTCTCATGATTGACCGGTGAGATTGTCCAATATGCGACAACACCAAATAAATAAACTCTCCCATGTTCCGTCTTGAATACCATGTTTTTGATCATGTTCCAATTTTTGAGCCGCACCCATGTTTACCCAGATGCTTTGTCTGATACTTGGCTACCCCCAAATCCATTGATCAATCATCCTTTGCCTATAAACATTGCCAAACATTGGGGGTAAAACCACCATTGTTCGGGTACACTTAAGGCCCTCTACCATTTATATATATATATATGTCAGTATAACTCAGTAATTCATTCAATGTATATAGTTCATCATAACTTCCTTTTTATACCCATTTAAGAAACATATCTGGTTTCTAGGACTTTAAGTGTACCAGACCCAGATCGGCATCGCAACCGTAGAAGAACATCTCCACCGCCACGCGCTGCGTACGCGACGCGCTCAGCAGCTGGAGAGCACTTCGCCAGCGGCGTCCCAGGGCATCCACGGCGGCGTTGAGGACGATGGACCTCGGATGGGTGACCTTACCCAGATGGTGATTATAAGTTATATAAGTTAATATAGCTAATAACTCTATTGATTATAATTGGTGATATAATATGATATTGGTAATCATAACTCTATAATCATGGTTATACCCTTCCCAGAAAAAAAATGGTGATTATAACTGGTTGGTGGTTGACCTACCCCTCTGAAAAATGATGGAGTTCGTCAGTTGGGATGATGACATTCCCAACCGGAAGGAAAAATAATCCATTCATGTTCCAAACCACCAACCAAATAATATGGGAACAAAATAAGTTACTATAACTCAATTGGTAACTTTTTACTATTCCTGTCTATTTGTTGAATCTGAACATTTTGTTATTGGAAGTTTCCGAACTTCCATTGGGTGAAATTCTATCGGGGGTGCTCAACAGCCCACTTATAAGGGGGGTAAATTTGGCAAAATCACTGATTTCCGACCCTTGTGGGAAAAAACAATCTAATGGTGAGTAGAATAAGCATTTGTAACTTGACTATTGGTAATTATAATCTGCGGGCGGGCTTACCCAATCTTACCCAGATTACTAATAACAGGAGTGATAATAAATCTATTGTAATTGGATTGGTTTAAGGGAAACACTACAGGACACCCAAACATTTCATGGAGGAACAACATATGGAAAAAAAAAACATGGTTTCCGATTAAGATGTTTACTTAAACCAATCCAATGATATTGGTATTTTCCTTGCTTATCCATACATTTTGTACATTTCATTTACTATTGAATTATCCAATTGATATAAATATGTTTTCCTATGATAACCATGTTTGTATTTCTAGCTCTTTACAAGTGAATCTTGGATTGAAGGGTAATTTCTAAATTTACTTGATAAATCCAAGAATCACAGTAAGATAAATCCTACTATTAAACTCTTGAAGATTATTGTGGTTGCAATTTAGATAAAACCCCCACAGTGAGCACCAAAACTATCATCAGCAAGTAGAGATTCCCCCCTCAACCGCAGCCCAGAAATAAATAAGGAGCTATAATTCAATAGGAATATATCAATGGTAAGGACTCCGCAGACCAAAAATTGGAGCATTTCGGGATGATTCCCCTACTTACCAGCATTTACCTTCAGGTTGTGAGGTTGCTGACATTAACACAGATGGAATATTTTACTAGAATGCAGCATCAAGAAATACACGCATGAAGGCATGAAGGTACATATACCTAGAGCAATATAGGTTTGATACGGTTGGTGGAAGAACTCCTGCACCACCAAAAGGATATTTGAAACCCCAACAAAATTATGGGATCTTTACCACCTATCAACTGGTGCAGGATTTTGCTGGCCCATCCACAATATCAACTATAATGAAGGGCCAGTACCTGCGGGATGAGTTTCTCCACCACCGACCATTTTTCAGTATTCCTTGCTGTCATATATCTAGAATTATGATTGAACAAGAAATGGGTTTAATTGAAACTTATAGACTAGAAAAAAGAACAAACCAACATTGCGAGCAAATAATGTATATAATTGAGGATCATTTGCGGGCCATCGCTTCAGGGCAGTCATAGCATCTGACCCGGCGAAAGCTTGTTTGATTTATCGTGATCGCTTGTGGGTGTCTGGAACGTGGGCCCCCGAAACCATAGGAAAGTGATGACTTAACCAAGAAACAATGTGATTTAATGGAATTTAAAACTGATTTATGATAGCTAAGTTGACGCACATAACACGGTTGACTGTTGGCTGAGGATATATAGTTGACGCGGGTTATCAACCAACTTATGACTTGGGGGGCCCACCCTGTACAATCCTCGTTCTATTAGCTTTTGCATTCCCATCATTGATATCCCCAACATTACTGCTAAATGATCCGCAAATTCAACCGGGTGTCTAGGGTTCATCGATCGTTGGTTCATCGCCTCATTCTTGTTGGTGATTACATACGTGCTCTTCACTCTTGCCCCCCATTTGCAACACAAGTTGACACATGTTCCCATTCCAGATTGTGTAAAGTGACTTTTTGGTCGTTCAGAAATAAATGTCTTGCCTTTCAGCAACATCAGAACTAAATGTCTTGCCTTTCAGCAACATATGCTTATTAAACATTAAGGAACCATGTCTTATCCCTGTGTTTCTTTTCTGTAGATAATCCTGGGAAAACGGAGTCTTATACTACAACAACAACAAAAACAACAACCCAACACCAACAGCAACAACAACAACGACGACGACGACGACGACCACAACAACAACAACAACCACAACCACAACCACAACAACCACAACAACCACAACAACCACAACAACCACAACAACCACAACAACCACAACAACAACAACAACAACAACAACAACAACAACCGCAACAACAACAACAACCACAACAACCACAACAACCACACAACAACCACAACAACCACAACAACCACAACAACCACAACAACCACAACAACCACAACAACCACAACAACCACAACAACCACAACAACCACAACAACCACAACAACCACAACCGACAACCACAACCACAACAACAACAACAACCAACCAACCAACCAAACAAACAGACAGACAGACAGACAGACAAACAGACAGACAGACAAACAAACACACAAACAAACAAACAAACAAACAAACAAACACACACACACAAACAAACAAACAAACAAGCAAGCAAACAAACAAACAAACAAACAAACAACAAACAACAAACAACAACAAACAACAAACAACGACGACGACGACGACAACAACAGCAACAACAACAACAACCACAACAACAACAGCAGCAACAACAACAGCAGCAACAGCAACAGCAACAACAGCAACAACAGCAACAACAACAACAACCACCACAACCACAACCACAACGACATATTATACCTGTAGTTAGATGGGTGATACATCAAGAAACATACCTTTTTGGGGGCACTACCAAACGTAGGACCACAGTCAGTCACCGTTGGATTATCCTTGGGCTGGAGCGCTGTGGAGGCAAACGCAGTTCAGGCAGGCTCTGCAGCTCAAACCTTGGCGCTGGTCACCATTTGACACCGGTGGTCAACTTGTTTAAAGTTCTGCATGATTTTTTGAAAATATGGTTTGAAGCGGGTAAACTATTCATAAGAGAGCTGGATTTGCCAGCTTGTATATGTTTCTTGTTCTTGTGTCGGGGTGTACCGTACCGAAACTATGAGCGACGGAAGGCAATACATACTGAATGAATTCCAAAAAACATTGTTTCCAAGGTTTGGATACAAATTCAGGGATGATCAATGGATTTTCCTGGGGCCCTTGTGTGTAGTAGTGACCCCACGGTTGAAGTCATGAAGAGCAGGAAACTTCTGGTGATATTTGGCTCCATGGATTTACACGCCGGAAGGTTGCAACAACTAGCGGGATCCTCTCGAAACTTTGCAATGTGTAGAAACAAGGTTTTGAGCCCTTTGAATGAACACGGGCATACAGTCATACAGTAAAATCAGTAAATATGGATGTAAAATGATGTAAACCAAGCAATATCTATCTGACAGAACTTCAGGGATTATCCCAGTCTCCGATCTAAAATCTAATGGTTCAAACCAGCCATAGGATTGGGTTGTGGTGGCTTTTCCTTTTTGGTGGGGGTCCCATCCAGTCTCTACATAGACAAGCTGATTATTTCAACCATCAGGGATCATGGGCCCATCCTCCCCTGAAATGGCCCATTTAGGGGAAATATCAACCCGTAAACCGGACACACCTGGCCCTATCACATACTGGTTGGTGGTTGACCTACCCCTCTGATAAATATGACTTCGTCAGTTGGGATGATGAAATTCCCAACTGAATGGAAACTCATAATCCATTCGTGTTCCAAACCATCAACCAGTATACTGTTGGTTGTTTTTCTGGCTGTATCCCATGATATCCCTATCATCCTATCTTTGATAGTAAATTCCTAGTGTTGACCGTACATAATTACCACAAAATACCCAGATTAGCGGGCTGCATCCTCTGCGTCAATAAACTTGGCGATGGAAACGCAACCATTCTTAGATGATTTTGACGAGAACATTCTACATAAATACACAACAACGGGTGCTTTACCAGTCCAAAGCGTGCGAGGATTCAAATGGGAACATCTGTCAAACAGTCTGGAAATGGACATATATAATATAATATATATTATATGTGATTTCCCAGGCTCCAGCTTTACTATTGTTGATAACTTGAAAGATCTTGAAAGTGTCTTTGCTTTGCTCTTTGTTAGTATAGCTAGCTTTTCCCTTACCATCTTCGTCTACTTGATTTCTTGTTGTTATTTTTTGTGCCTTACTTGAACCAAGAAGAAACATGAAGACTCACCTAACCCCCCAAAGGTACCAACCCAAAAAAAATAAGGAAGGGATGTATTGAGGTCTTGTTACCCAGCAGCAATCACTATGTTTTCGGGCGAATCTTAACGTCACCGGCTATCATTGAGGGCTGCGCTATCGGGGTCCCAGCAACAAGGCGTTGCGCCATCTGTTGCGATGTGCACACAGGCAGGCGCTGATGGTCTCATGACTGCAAGCCCCGGCAGTTCTGAGACGCGCGTACCTGTCGACAGTGGAGTACTTGGAGCACCCGTCATCAAACTTGGCTGGAAAATCTCACTACATGGAGGTGTACAGCTGGGGATAGGAAAACATGGGAACATTATCCGTCAACGGAGGTTCATAGCTGGGAAAATCGTCTAGAACGGTTTTTTGTTTTTCATGGGATTTTCCAGCAAGCGATGTTTGATTACAGGAGGAAATGTCAGCCAGGTTCCAAGTTCCATTGATCAATGGGTGTCTCTTACAAGGTAAGGGTTGATGCTTCGTTAAGTTTGACAGAACTCTATTATTAAGTTAGATGAGGTAACATCAACCAAATTCTTGCTTAGATGACTTAGACGATATAAGGGGCCTATGACCAACTTACCGGCCACTTATCCTCTGCTGTCCTCAAACATGGCTAGATCGAACATCTTCCATAAAGGGGTATTCACGTGGGCAACGCATTCCTAAATGGAGAATTTTCCATGGGGTGGCTCGTTGTCTCACCACCCAGGAATGGTAGTAGCATGGGTTTTGGAGAATTCACACGACAGAAATCCAACATAAATGATTTGGGAGATATACAATAGGTCACAAAACCAGACATAAAAGCTGTTTAGGCATGTTAAGGCCATCTATGCTGACATCCCAAAGTGACATTGTGGCCCAAAGTGATGGGCCTCCAAAAGGTTGGTAGATTTTGGACAAAATCCAGTGTTCTCTGCTAGAGTATGGCCATACAGTTGGCTACATGCATGCACCACAAGGACGCAATACTTTGAATCTGATATGTATATATATATAAATATCCCCCTGGGCATTAAAAACAGTGGGTTGAAGCCCATGTTTGTAGGGTACAATTTGCAGTCCCTGGGGCTGGAAACCTACAAAAGTGGTACCCAACCTCACAGCCTTCCCACTACAAAATTGGGATCCAGCCTCATAAGATCTAGGAAATGTTGCTCCTACAAAAATGGAACTCAGGGTCAAAATGGTTAACATGTTGTCATCTTAATCTCAATCCCAGTTTTGCCGACCTTGGATCCCACTTTTATAGAGATGCTCTTGCAAAGTACTGGTTGGCAGTTTTTTCCACCCACCCTTTCGACGCTTCTTCGCCCTCAAGGGGTACTCATGCACAGCTAGGCTATGCTCTTGGGACCAACAGTATCTCTTTCTATCCCATAATACTGGAGGCTCCATTGCTTGCCCACACAGAGAAGTCACAGGGCACATAGTGGGACATCCTTGTGGACACGGCATTTTCTCCAAAATGGATACTGGTTTGAATTAGGGGGAGGGGTTGGACCCCCCTCTGCGTAGTTGCAAATCACTAGGGACCAACCCTAGTGTCTACAAAAAGCAATCACCTGCAAAAACCTTGGGACTACAAAAAGCTAGTGCCAACTCTAGGCACCATGCCAAGAACCGAGCTAAATCAGCTCTACAAGAAGGTTGCTCAACCCACATAGGTTCCACATAGTTAACTTAAAAGCACCATCAATCATCCAGCTGGATTCTTTAGAGAATGAAGGCTTTAATGTATAAATCCTTACAAGTTGCGTATTGGCAGCGGGTTCACAATAATTACAGGTTACGCACTAGCAACATGTTCAATTACAGGTTAGGTAGTGGCAGCAGGTTCAATCGCAGGTATATTGACAATGGGCTCAAAATAATTACAGGTTACGCACTGGCAGCGTGTTCACCCACTACCAAGTGCTGGCACCAAGTTGATCCTCTACAAAAAAGGCCCATGGATGCTTTCTCCCAATTTTCACCCCTGGGGGAAGCCCTTCCTGAGCCACTGCCCCACATTACAAACCTCAAACCCAAGGATTTCATCTTGCACATCCTTTACTTTCAGTGAATGCCATTTTACAAGGTTTGCAAAAAGAGCCGCGGCGTCGCAGGTTCCTTTTGCAAAAAGTCGGTTAAATCATTTGAAGAAGATTACAAAAACCTTGGCACAAGTGCTTTGTTTTTCTAAAAAACGACCCTACCTGGCGGTTTGTAGCGTAGCCCAACTCCTCCCCTTTCTGTAAGTGTTTTCCTATCCCCGATCAAAAAACTACATGCAAACACTCTATAAAATGACCCCTCTATAAAATGAGTTCCCAGGTCTTCAGCACTCTGACATGGCTGCTCAAGCCTCAGAATGAAGTCCTCTACAAAAAGCTGATTGCATTTTTACATTACCGAAAAACTGCTCCAAAATGACCTCTCTACAAAAAGCTAGTGCATCCAACATGATTTATACATACCACTATTTGTCTACAATGATTGGGGAACCAACCCCATTTTTTCTCTATAAAACAGCTAGTTTTTTTCAGCTTTATACGGGACCCAAGCCCCCTCAAAACGCAGAGGAAATCTAAACGGGGATCAACATGGAGATTGTTGAGCAAGCACAAAATGCCTGCCAAATGCTGGCGCGGTTTCCTCCCTACAAAAATCGATCATGAATTTTCATGACCTCATGAACCCCAAAATAGTTTCCCTACAAAAGTTCACTTGGATTTTAACATGTCCAAAAAAGTCTCAGCAACATGCCCCTACAAAAGTCAATTGATGCTATCTTCTAGTTTGTACAATGGTCTATCTACAAAAGTTAGGGGTCTGAGGTACATTTTCCTTACAAAATCGAGCTCCCACAGCATTTTGTATAGGCCTCAAGGCAAGCATGTTTGTAGTGGAAATTGGCACGGGGATATATAAATTATATACACATACATACATACATACATACATACATACATACATACATACATAAATACATACATACATACATACATATATTTAAATATATATATATTTATCATATATATGTATACACACATACCTTTTGCCTCAAAGTCCACTCCCAAGAATCAAATCCACCTTTCAGTACCAACGGGGTTGTTCCGCCAATATTTCGAACTATTGATCATTGATCATCCAATGTGGTTGGGTTTCGAACTAGCCTCAATCCGATTGTCAGTCTAGTTACATGGCGCAACTTACATATTATCAAACACATTGGAATAACTATGGCACTATAGTGATAACATTATTATAACTATGAGAAACACATTACAATAACATGTAATAACTATGATTTATGGCTACTCTATGGTAATAACAATATAATAACTATTATATTATTCTAATACCATTACAATAACATACAATAACTATGGTTTATGGCTACTATAACTCAGTTAGATGGGTAGTAAACCAACATATCTGGCTGAATGATAATAACAATTCACTCACCTGCAACTAGCTGAAACTTGCGGCCATATGGGGGATGATTCCCCATACATTCACCATTCCAGTCACGTCACGACGTGAGGTCACCACAATTCATCCATATGAATCCTAGAAAAATCGTGCCTGTTGTTGTTCAGTCCTATTTTTGTCCAGGTCAATCCACCTTTTCCATCCTTTTTTGCAGTTCAAACCCTAAAGCCGTGATTTTTATAGCTATAAATGGGGTTATCATTCCGGGGTGACTTACATCCACTGTGGTTTTTTCCCCCAGTCGTTCCCGGCTGCGTCTCTGCCGCGTCGCAAGGCCACAACGAAGCTCCAGGCGCTCCCCTTCTCGCAGGCGTTCAGCGCTTCGTTGAGGTTCACCCCGTCAACCTTTCGCTGCGTCTGAGTTGTTTGTTTCCAATTTGATCAAGAATTTATAGGTATGGATATGGAAAAAGTAGTGGTATATTATATATATATAACATTATATATAACTAAAGCTGCCTAGATATAGGCTTGTCACAACTGGAAATCCCCAGTTGAGTGCCCAGCCCAGAGATTTAGCGAAGCACAAGCAACAATGGGGATACCAGTATCACACAAATCCAACAGGGGATATAGCCATGCAACAATCCAAAAGCATACACCCACTGCTGGTCATCTAACCTGACAAGAGAAAATTACAATCATTTTAATACGACATTCACCCATGAATGGATATAACATGATATAACAATGATATATGATATAAATATAAATTTGTCTGAAGCTCACCCCAAAATCCGGTGGTTTATTCATATGATCCCATACTTTCCGCAGTCAAAATGCCCAAAGGCATGCATAAACAAAATCCACTTCAACTGGAGCAAATGTATGCAAATGTCCCAATTCCATGCTGCTTTTCAGGTCTACACTCGAAAAATGGGAGGTTGCAAACCATTCTAACCCCAATGAATGCTAGTTCGTTATATCTACCATAAACCATAGTTTTCTCAACACTTTTTTCAGGCAACTGAACGCTATCCAAAGGGGGGGGCTGCATCCTGCCAGGATTTTCCAATTTCTATAAGTTGGTTTTAAAATCCCCTTGTGAATTAAGTGAAAGTGTTGGTGTGAGCAATTTTATAGTGATAAACCTGGAGACAGTGACCCTCTTTTTGAAAATGCATCTATAGAATCAGAGACGCCAGGGTATTTTCAAGTTGACAGTCTCTATGGAATTGCTGTCACTGCGGTTATTTGCTCATTTTCTATAGAATTGCCGACACCAAGTCAATCTCGTAAAGCCTTTTTTAGGTTGGGGGGGTTAGTTGGCCTTCTATAAAATCAGATTCCCCAAGTCTCATTCATTGACAGCTGACCTGAATACTCCAGTTGCTCTTGCTCCAAGTTTTCACTGTCAACCTGTTTTCAACATGAAATCTCTATAGAATCGCTGACACCAAGGTCCTCTATAAAATTGCAAACGTTGACACTGGGTAGGTACCCCTAAAACGCACCATGTTCCCAAGCTTAATTGTTGAGATTTTGTAGAGGAAATTGCAAGGATATGTTGAAAAACCATTATAACCCCCATTAACTATAGTTAATTCATGTTAATTCTACCAGAAACCATCGTTTTTTCAGCCACTTTTTTCAGGCCCCCATTTCTGCACCTCCAAGGCCTGTGTTTCCATGTCTCCAATGGTCATCAGTGCCAACTCCCAGGCCGCAGTGGCCGCAGCCTCCCAGGACCTGTCGAATTCAACGACGTGGGGATGGGTCAAGCCATGGGAAGAGAGGTTCGTAGATGTTGAGTATTCTAAAATATTGAAAAAATAAGAAGAAATGGTGTCTAACTATTGGGGAACCCCATGTTGAATCATTTTGACCTATAGCCATGTACACAGTTAAAATTTAGATAAATTTAGATGTTTTTTGTACGATACTAACCAGTTCCACCGCGGGGTCGCCCATCAAAAGTCACCTACTTCACCTCACCAACTGGGCAGCTGCCGAAACACTGGATGTAGCTTGGGAAAAAACATGTTTTTTTACATGTTGACATGTTATAAGCCCCTAGCTCGGCTTATGTAACCATATTTAACCCATGTTAACCCCTTCAGTTTTTCGGGACTCAAGGATACCTTGGGTTGATGGCATAGCTGTTAACTCACCGCTATTGCCCAAGGCACAGAGCCATCCTCCATTGGCGCCGGAGGCAGAGCCGCATCTGCCGCTCGCCGATGACGTTGAGCTTCATATGAGACCGGTGTAGCTGACCAACCTGTCCGGGGAGGTGATGAAGGTGACCTGGATGACCTGGATGACCTGGAAAAGGAGCCAAATGGCTTGTGCTTACCTGGTTACCCTCTGGATGTTTGATGATTTTTGATGATTTTTGTGCAGCTATTGAACATCAATGAAATATCAATGAACATCACTTAATGTTTACCGGGTACTGCAAATCATCGAACTAAATGGCTCATGTTCCAGAGCTATGTTGAATGACCAGAGGGTACTCAAGCGGGTTATAACCCACTAATATGCCAAGTATCAGCCAGTTGCGAACCAGATAACTATTTCTATGGCCCATCGAAATATATGGGCTTGTCTGAAAGTAGGCTACCCTGAATGGCTTGCATAGAAAAGCATTTTCCGGATGAAACAAATGCATGTTTAAGGGGTATGCCACATTTTTAGACAAGACCTTTGTGGGTATGGATCGAAATTCAAGGCCCAGTGCCAGACAGTCCGGTTACGTTTCGTACGTATCCGGGAGCCAAAGTGGCTGGTCTTGTACCCTCCTTGCGGAACACTCAGCATGAAAATAGGTCATTTTTGCAGGGGAACCACGAAGTTTTCACATTTAGGTTAGTTTACCCTAGGGTCTACCCCAGGGCCTAGGGTATCTTAGACCATGGCAATTTTGGCAACACTTGAGTCATGGGGATCTGAGTCCAATGGAGCACCCTATCTTCAAATCAAAGATCCGTTCGAACACAGTGCTGCTGACTGGGAATTGTTTGGAACCGGCCCCCCATAACATATCATAAAATATCATAAATATCATAAAATATCATAAAATATCATACCCCTACAATGATAATTATTGTTTTATCATCATTTTCCCTTGACATAGCCATTTGTCAGGTATTCAATAGCCAACTCCCAACAGACCTGACGACATTGCCAGGTGACTAATCCCAAAGCCAAGCTCCACAAGGACCCGGAGCCGCAAACACCTCACGAAAAAAACACGACCGAAACGCATGGCCACTGCAAAAATTGGGATTTCATGAAATGTTAATGGGATTTTTAGGTAGCTCAGTTGGCTTGTAAGTTGGTAAACTATATGATTTATCTGGGTTTATGGATAAATATATATATATATAATATGTGCTATGTGATAACTCGATATAGACGGATAATAAACCAACACATATAACGCTTGGGGGTACCGCCTGGCAACCGCTTCATAGGAATCAGTTGGAAGTCGTCCTCACAGATTCCCATGAGTTCTCGTCAACAAAGGTCAACGGTGTATCCCAAAAATGGGAATCAATCTCAAGCCATACCCATCATATGCTCCATGTATGGAATATTTACCAACATTTACCCCATAATGAGCCAAATGTAGGTAAATATACTATACATGGAGCATCTGGGATATATAATCCATGGCCATTGTCGATAATCCTACCCTCTGGTTGCTTAACATGGGTATGGACAAGGGCCCATTTATAACTGGTTGGTGGTTTTAACCATCTTGAAAAAGTCAATGGGAAGGATTATCACATATATTGTGGAAAATAACAAATGTTCCAAACCACCAACCAGATAATCATTTCTAGATTGTTTTGACTATTTTTTTGGTTAGCCAACGGTTAGAGCCCAGGCACTCAACATTGGGTTGCAACTGACCATCCACCCCATGGAGCATAGCTCCTGCGATGCCAAGATCGCATGCCATAGATCCGGGGTCCCGTCGGGTCCCGTGACTCATGCGTCTATTCCATCAATTTTTTTTGTGCCCAAACCCAGATGCTCCATGTATAGTATATTTACCTACATTTGGCTCGTTTATGGAGTAAATGTTGGTAAATATCCCATACATGGAACATATGGGAAAGAAACGAGTCTGTGTTTTTTAATTTGAATGCACATCGTAATATAGATGTACATACACACGCTTGGTGCCCAAGCCTGCAATTGCCAACAAACCTTCAGAAAGGCCCTCCGGTGTCATCATGGCTAGCTGTGAATTCCCCCTATAAATGCAGCTTTAGAGCTGGGAAATTCATGGAACTATACGGGGATCTTCAATTGCCATGTTTGATTACCAGAAGGTAATACCAACAAATTGCTGGTTGAATTCAGATTGTTGTTGGATAAGGTCCCTCTTTGCGTTTTCCTATCATATGTAATTTTGCTTGGTGTACATATTTATGTGTAATATGTTTGATAAATTCCAGCGACTTCGCAGTCAGGTGATGGTGATGGTGATGGTGATGATGATGATGATGGTGATGGCGATGGCAATGGCGATGGTGCTGATGGTGATGGTGATAGTGATGATGATGAGAGATATATATATATATATACAAAAATGTATATATATATATACATATTCACTTAATGACATGCAATTAATGGAATCTACAGCTTGTGCAAATCCAGCGAGGACACGGCGCGACGCTTCAGCAAGTCCTGGTTCAGCTGCCAAAGCGCCATTTCCCAACGGCGTTGCGCCCTCAGGACCTGAGAAGTTCACATTTCTTCGACGGAAGTTGGTGGTGTACCATCTCACAACTGGAGATAATGGGATATTACTGGGATATATATATATATAGATATACATATAATCATATATATATATATGTATACTGGTTGGTGGTTTCAACCATCTTGAAAAATATTAGTCAATGGGAAGGATTATCCCATATATTATGGAAAATAACAAATGTTCCAAACCACCAACCAGTATGTAATATTTATATATATATATATGCTCAGCGGCCCTTCCATACCTTTTCAGACATTACTGAATACTATGTGTACATCATTATATCATCATATACTGTGTATGTATATTTATATATACTTTTTTTGCTTGGGATATCCAATCAGCAATCTGATATTTAGCTAGATGTGTTCATGTGGGGTTGTAACGGAATAAATAACATATGCTGATTTGTGGGCATAAAGCCAACCAGAAAGATTCATACATGGTGACTTTTTTGTTGAGAACATAGAAATATATATATATATATACATGCCTATATTATTTCAACAATGATCATTGAGTGTGTCTGAAAATGGTTGATTGACCCCAGTTTGTGGCCAGAAATAGATGATTCTGTCAACCACTGGAATGGGATTATCCCTTAAATTCATCATATATGAGTCCACCATGGATCATCCCCAAGATGAAGACAACCACCAGTTGAAGGTGTTGCACCCGCAGGTCTCTGGGGTCAGTTTATATGTGAGATATGTCACCCTCAGCATAGCAGTGGATGATGACTGGGAACTTTGGCCAAGTTAGTACCTTTTCTAAGGCTCAACAAGTACCTAGGGGTCAACTGAGCTCTCTGGGGTAGTAAAAGAACATCATCTACCCTCTGGCAAACGTTTACATAACTATGAAAAATCACCATGTTATAGCTGGGAAAATCCACTATTTCTATGGCCATTTTCCAGTTCGCTGTTTGTATGTTTACCAGAGGGTAGCAGTTGACATCAGTACAGCATTTCGCCACATGGTACTGGATTGCTGCGAACCTGAGATCAATTCCCTACTTGTTTGATAAGGGACCCCGATTCATAAAGGATCCATGGATCCGCTGCGGATATGAAACTAGACCAGGGTTTCCAATGGGCTTCTTTCGTCTTGGTGCTTCGTCCCACTTACCATCTGGTTATGACTAACATAGCCATGGAAAATCACAATTTTTTATAGGTAAACCAGCTATAAATGGGCCATTTTCCATGGCTATGTTAAATCACCAGAGGGTAATGGTTTCTTTTCCCCCTGACAAATGACAAAGTAGGGCACTGAAAGAAACACTGAACCCAACTTGCCGGATCATCCTAGTCGTAAGTTATTAACCATCCCCCAGTCATCACCATAAATTGATAGGTGGTATAGACTTACCATTCCCAGCCATGGCCCACGGGTAGTTTATGACATTGTTTTAACCACATTATAGCTGCTAGGGATTTTTCGATGGGATTATTTCATACCGATGACACACATATATATATATATTCAATTCACTTAGGACAGTGCGAAAGAGGCCCAACAAACTAACCGTACCCTATTAAGCCCTTAGCAAAAAACACACAGAAAAAGGGATTCGCCAAAACAGTCGCCTATGTCAGAACCAATACAGTCCACATCAGTCCTTAGGTTAGTTTCAAAGCCGCTTGTCAAAACAATCGCCCATCAACACATCGCTCCACGACCAACCATATCCACAATAAACATTTAATCCTCAGTCTGCAGCGCAGCATAACTTGAATCCTTTGGTTAGATTTGAAAACATTTTGAAAATCCAAAAACAAATCCAATACAATCGAGCACATTAATTTCCAGCCGTCGCATTCTCGCCGCGGCACCGAACTCGACGAGGAGCTAGACGACGAGCTCGTCGAGGAGCTGGACGAGGAGCGCCGCGCAAAGCCGCCTGTAACCATTTAACCCTCAGAAGACTTATCAACCTTTGAACGAGCATTGCAAAACACGCGCAAATAAACCGTTCAACCGCCAACAAAGTTTTTACTTTCGAAGATAACTGCTCAAACACTCCCCTCTATCCATAACCTTCTGTTCTGGTAAATCCACTCGATACCCGACAAGACAAACGCACATTGAATCCACAACCTTGCCCGAATCATTTTTCAAACAAGACATCGGATCTGCAAATCACGCGGTTTCTTTGTAAATCCAAAGAATAATGCCAACTTCCGGTGAAAACAATCTGACCTACCCCCGGTGCCACACCACTTGCCTGCTTCCGAGCAGCCGCCGCTGGCTGCTGCGGAGCGGAGGAAGAAGAAGCAGCCTGTCGCAAATATGCACGCTTCCCTTTAATGCACATGCTGCGTCACGTCTCTTCCTAAATCCACCCACCAATAAAAAGTGACCAAGTCAGAAACGAACACGTCAAATGAACCCAAAAGCGCATCTAAATTACACAATTTCAAATAGAACTCCTTTCAAAACCCCAAGTCCGCTACACCATGCTTTCCTTGCCGCAACCAAGCAATTTTTTAACTGTTGACCTGCCTGGCGCTACAACTTCCTCTTCTTCTGCGGAGGAGTCTGCGTGGCGGAAGGCACCACCTGTCCGCAACATCCAAGGCAGAAAAAGAAATGATCTTGCACCGAAGCTAAATTCCCAGCCTCGGGAGGAGGCCTGGTTAGGTGAAACCAGGAACCGTCCGCGCGCATGACCCTGCTCCCCTGGTGCGGGAGGGGTCACGGCCGCGGGGCCCTTTGGTTTGCACCAACGGTTCTTGTTCCGCCCATCCTGGCCGCATCAACCAGGTGGGGCCAGGAGAGAATAGAATAGCGGGAACCTCGATTCAATGACAATGGACTAGTATCATTTAAAATCATAGTAACGAAAAGCCGTACGTATGTTCTCCAAATTGATACTTCATTCATGAAAACACAATCAATGCTCCCACCATTGACAAAAGCAGCCCACACACTTAAGCCCCTGTCCTGTGGCCACCTTTGTTGGTGACATTCCAGGCAGTAAAGCCACAAGGCTTGACCACCTGGAGTGACCCGCCACTAGTAGGTTCTCTCCGGGCATGTTTTTGTTCCAAACCAGTTCTGAATTGATGTGCGCACACGGGTTTGTTCATTGGCGACAAGATGGGCTAAGAAACCCGTTGATCCCCTAGCCTTTTGTGATTTTCTGTGTGTTTCGTATACATTTTTGTCTGAAAAAGGTAAAGTTACTCATCGACTGGCTGAATTTTTGCTTCACTGAATCACTTTGACTGTGGGGCCTGTGGGGTTCCATGATTTCCATCAATTTCCATGATTTCAATGGATGGAGTTATCTGGGTGGAAGAATCTCCAAAAAAAACCTTTATTGATAGCGTTTTGTGGGCAATTTTGGGTTCTATGTCGTGCTCGACAAAGAGTGGGTCATTTTTGGGTCTATGTTGGGCCCGTGTTGGGCTTGTGGTGGGCCAGACTTTGACTTTTGACATAAAACACTAAAAAAAAACATCATAATTTTGCAGTCCTGAATGCGCAGCGCTCCATTGTGATTTGTCTTCAAACTAACTTTCCCGACTTAGGTGCGGTGCGGTGTAGCATGGGCGTTCATTTGTGATGATACAACTGGACAAAAAAATGGAATGGACATTTCAAATTTGAAATTTGAAACATACTTTACTAAACAGAATAGAATCAGTCCGAGTCTCGAGTCCAGGCGTGGCGTTTCCTTTCCAGTGAAAAGTCAGATGAACATACCGGACCGGCTGCAAGAATGCCGAGACCCGAGCGCCCTGTATATGTGTGCGCCTATATGTTTATAGATCTATATACTTTTGTTATCTGGGATATTATATATGTTTGTTTTTCACTTTCCGAAATCTGCAAAGTTTTCATCAACGTATTGAAATGAATTTCATTTCTCGAAGATGAAACGTTTTGATGTGCCAAGTTTGTTTGTGATCCAATCATCAGTCATGTTTTGAAAAGAACACATGATCGGATGCATTTCAAGTCAAGCTGCAGCTTGCTTTGTGTCTACAGGGTCCAATGAGGCCATTATTTGTGCTTGAAAATGCAATGGTGTTTGTCGTTTTTTTTTTGGCCGCATTCCCTGATGATTACAAACATGAGCGACTGTCCCCTTTGAAGATTCGACGCCACCGGATGACCAAACCAAATTGGCTGAAAGTCCGCACAGTCCGGTGTCCATTGCCAGTTGCCCCGCATGAGTTGCAAACCCGGACCTTGTATGCCCTTTGTTTGGCTGAGTATTCTGGCGCATGGACTGGAGTGACAACTGTGATGTCAGCTGAACAATCTTTACTTTTCCGATTCTGGCACTACCCCACAGATGCTTACTTTTTGAGGTTGTGTAAGGTTTTCACGCTGTCAAAGCCTTTGCTTGTGAAAGAAGCTTTAACTCAATCGTTTGTGCGATGTGGGGATGGAGTTTATCGAGAGCGATGTGGCAGCTATCAGTCAGTAAGGCCAGCTTCAACCACTTGGCCATACTTTCCAAGAGCAGAGCAAGACCTGAACAGCTTGACTGTTTTGACTGATATAGGAACAAGTGTTTTGATGTCTGTCAGGGATGTCTTGAGCCTGTGGGAATGTGCGTCGACCGATGCTGCCGATGTTATGGTGTTGCCCATGCCTGCAACCGTAGCTCATTTGGCAACGCGCAAATTGTGGAAAGATTTGGTCTGTTTGGGTCGTTGGCCAGAGTTCACAAGTTTGTTGCCTGACAATGTTCAAACTCAAGTTGGCCTGGTCGGAGCAAGCCCTTCAAGGCCTGAGTTTGGTAGTCTGGATTTGCCAGCGTGTAATCAAGTGTTGCATTATTTGAAAACATGGGCTCCTTTGATTCTTGCCAATTTTGAGAATGATGAGTTGGAAGAGCAGCGGTTGCAATTGGAGTATTGCATAACTTGGTTTCAAAACGTGTCATCCAACTTGCCGGATTTGGATTGCTTGTATGACCCTGTCTTTCAAAAGCTGAACGGCCGAGTTTACTCTTCCT